CGAGCTAAAACTCAGATAACAATTATTTCATATGTTTAAATAATTCACAAACAGAAAAGGTATGGGCTAAAGACAACTGACTGTCACATTCCTTGAATAGTCTAAAAACAACCTAACAAAGAAAAAGCATAAGATTTAACCTGCTGCAGGCCTATTATTTCACGTAAAATAATATGTCTAGAACAAAAAATAGATAAACAAAAGGAGTTTCTGTTAGCCAATGGCTTTCCCTTTTTGTTCCAAGTCTGCAGAATTAAATATCAAAGTCGGAGGTTGGGGGGAGGCACATAATGAAAATTACCCGCATAATGAATCAGCAGCGAGGGCCTACTACTGTCCCTCAACTGCCTTCCCATGCTTCCAGAATTATTACCAAGGTCCACTAAACCGAGCTTCCAGGCCTTCAAGGTCACAGGTAGGATCACCTCGGCACCAGGTTTTAAAGGAAGAGCAGAATTTAGAGTTTCATATGGAATTGAGAGAACAGAACCTTGGTTTTTTCCCAAGAGTGAAATATGTGCCTGTTCAACTGGAACAGTGCCTGCATTAGCCAGACTAATATAGATGTCACGTATCTCACCTTCATATAAAATTATGGCACCATCACCCCCTACAAAATGTGAAACTAGCAAAGGCAGTGGTGGTACAACAGAAATATTTGGGACAGGTACACTTTTCAACCTTGGAGAACCACAAGATCTGAATGGGTCAGAAAGCACAAGTCCTTCAGCTGCACCATGGAGCAAATTATCTACATCCCTGAAGAGGTGTTCAGTAATAACACCAAAACAATGAACAATGCACCCTGTAATCGTCACTAGCCCCACTGAAGTTGGGATTCCAGATAAGGTGATCACCTTCGATGAATTAGGAGGGAGATCTACACTGATGGGAAAAGGATCCAAATTTCCTGAATGCACTGATAAGTATATACTATCAACCTTTAAATTAAAGCCACATGGGTTTGCCAACTCCACTAAAATCTGGACTGGTTCTCCAACAATCCAAATCAGCTCCTTCTTGCTGCTATTATTTGGTTCCCCTTTGCTGAATGGTGTATAAATAAAAGGCCCTGAAGGAGCAGATCCAGCCCACCAATCTTCTCTTGCTGGATTGCGTTTAACAATGTCCATTTGAGAGGAATGTAGAGGAAAAGAATACAACCTGAAATAAGTAAACAGATCAATTGAACAATGATTACCAACTTCAAAAACTGACATGAAAAGAAAAAATGAGACTCCAAAAGCAGCATTTTTGTTGACCAATTCAGTAAATACAGGACCATCTGCTACAAGTTCTTAGATGCATTCTTTGAAAACCCAAACAACAATGGACAAAAAATGAAAGGACCCACAATACATTTTGCCACTAAGCTGCTTGGTAAGGAAAGATGGCTAAGATTCCAAGGATGAAGCTAAACACCTTACAAAAGGTAAGGCAGGATCACTGGATCGAGTCCCAGAAGGCAACCTCTCAGATGAATTAGCAAGTGCACGAGCAAGGCCATTTTGCCCAACAGGTGTGATTAGAGGGTAATATGATCTTAGAAGCCGAGCAGCAGCACTCCAAGCAGCAAGAGGATCTCCTGCACGAACAGCAGATAGCAGTATCTCCCTCAGCACAACCATTTGGAGCGTGCTCCATTGAGACTCAAATAAATAAACTACTGACTGGTGATGCATTTTCCCACTATCAACACGACTTGATCCAACCCCCTATCAAAAAGAAAAAATCAATGAAAGTTTAAAGGATGCAAGATACACTAAATCACATTTCTTTCACCCATTGTTTGGGCTATATGACAAGTTTAATTCTTCTCTCCTCTTTTTCAGCCAGATTTGATCCTGATCCTCTTAAGACAATGCTAAACGACTTAACTAGCAAATCACATTATATGAGGACTTTATGTACTTATTATGCAGCCTTTTTCTTCCTATAAATTGAGAGTGCTTCCACATGTTTCTATGCAGAACTAGATAGATTAGTTTGGGGAAATAATGTAGTTAACCCAGAGGAAACCACAATACAAGACTACACCCTACAGCCAGCAAACAGTACAAACAGCCCAGCAAACAATACATGCATGGTTTCAATTTTTAAGAAGGCTTGTATACTCACGTTGATACAAGAATTATCAGAGATTGATGCTCTGCTCTGAACATAATATGCTTTGGCGGTCAATGCCAAAACTTGCAAAGCACTAATAGCAGCCAATTTGTTGTCTTGTTGCAGATACAGCTGAGCGACCTGCCTAGAAAAAAAGGCAGCTTTCCTCTGGTAACCAAGAGTTCCAAATAAACGAGCTATTTCAACATATAATATGAGTCTATCAGTGGCATCAATCAAAGATTTTGCACCATCTGCAGCACTTGTCAGCAATTCTACTACTTCCTTAGCCAGTTCTCTTCTGCAAAAATGAGTACCATTACTACAAAATTGCTTTAAGGAAACAGAAGCTTCAGCGTCTTATTTTAAGATCTTTCTTTTGTGTATATCTTCTTACAATGTAATAAAGTTGAGAAAATATTTACCTGCAAAGATATCTTGCCAATTTCAAATTTGCTTCAAGTTCAAAGCTCACAGGTGAAACCCTGCATCCAAAATATTACGAGAAATTTGCTCTTAATATGATTAATTAAAGAGTGAAAATAAACCTACTAATATATGGATAAATATAATATAATTGCAGTTATTAGGGAAGTATGCCTAGAAATGTATATTTTATACATGTGATTCATAGAACAAGATTAGAGAGATTGAAAAACATGTATGCTATTGTGAGAAACTCAAGAGTTTCACTTACAAGCATACCAAACCAACAATTTTGACTTTTGAAGAACTATTTCACATCGATTCAGAAAAAGGAGATATAAAAAGATAATCCATCAACAAAAATGAGAGAGAATTACCTCTGAGCATTCTCTTGTATAAATGACTTCTTGTAATGTAATATCACACTGTCGTACCGGTACCTAACTTCATCCTCTAAAGCTGGATTGTTTTGGCTTATCTGGTCTATCTGATAACAAGAAAAAAGGGAAGATAAGTAATTGCATAACTGCATGGTAAGCCAAAGACATTAGACACATGGGCAACATGACCCATCTTTCAAGAGGAAATATAGACAGAACCTTAAACCAATCAGCTTCGGCAGAAACATAACCACGGAAGAGGGAACGGTCACCATATTCATAGACCAACAAAAGGATGTATTTGACATGAAAGTCATTTTATCATTTAATTCAAAAGATGCACACACCAGTAAGGCACAAATGCTACCCTCCAATGCTCCAGCATACCAGAAGTAATCCGTGGTCGGTCTGGCAAGGTCCAATGCAGTAGAATAGTGAGCATTGGCATCAACAGGTGATCCCGCCAATAAACAATAATCCCCTATAGTCTTTTGCGCACGACCAAGCCTTCGCTTTTTTGCCTTGATCACCTGAAATTTTGATAGGAACCAAAACCATCAACCTACAAGGTACAAATACATGGCATCCCATTGCAAACTTAAAACTTTTGATACAAAAATTCCAGATTCAAAATCCTTAGGACACCTAAAAATAAACCTCCTCTGAGCTTAAACTAGCTTGAGAATCCAAAGGCGTCTTGAGTATAGTTCCAGCAGATTCCGCTTGAAAAACATACTTCTCAAATTCCATCAACAATGAAGCTGCTATCTCTTGCATCATTGTCTGCAAATGCATCTCCTGCGTTTGACGATCTGCTGGTGGAAACAATCTCAAATTTTCCCCCTTTTTACCACCATCCTCTAACTGTAACAAAACAATTAAATCAATGATCACCCAAATCTGAAAGACAATTGCTTGGTAATACCATTTAAACAAAAATCACCTTGAATCAAAACCATAAGGTAACATTTGATTTTGAAATTGAAACCGCACATGCAAAATAGGATTCCAGTTCTGAATCCGCTTCCAAATCAGCTTCATATTTTGGTTTTATTCAATTTCAATTCCATAACAATAATAATAGAAAGGATCAATTCACAAAATCAAGGACAGAAATGTCACATTTTTTGCGCGATCATACCCTCCTAGTTAGGAAACTAAATCACATTAAATTAAGAAATCACTTAATATCCACAAGCATACATAAATCTTCTACTGCCTAATCCAATAAACACGAAACCATTGCGTCACATTTCATTCTCTTAGAACTGAAAGCAAAAACAAAAAAAAAAGCTGCAATTATCATTCCTTCCTTAGCATTTAATTCAATCATAATCGAAAAATTAAAACCTAATACAATTCCAAATCCAATTAATAAATACAAAATTACTAAAATATCAAACAAAAACCAGCTAACTAACCTGAGAATCACAAGGAAAAAAACCGAAACAGCGTGCAACTCGTGCAGAAGCGTAACCTTTACAAACTCCATTAAACTCTTCGATAACTGAATCAAGATCTGGAGATAACGGACAATGAAAAACACCAATAACAGCCAAGATCTTACGATTGGACTGGAAATCTTCCCAAGGACTAGGCGGCGAACCGCCGAGAATGAATTTGAACCGGAGCGAACCGGTATCCCAAGGTTGGTTAGTGAATGGTGATTTTTGTTCTTCAGTGTAGAAGGAAGAGATTGAAGAGAGTGGGATTGTGTGTTGGTGAAGGAACATCGAGTAATAGTCACGTAGGGTTTGGTGAGGGATTTGGCCGATTGGGAGGATGGCGATTCGGATCATGGAGAAGGTTTCTATGCTCACATCTGGTTCCATGATGGGATCAGACGCTGATGAGAAGGTGAGGTGTACGGAGAGAGTGATGAGGACTGAAGCTTTTTGGTGGTTGCGTTAGAGAGAGGGGGGAAGAGAGACGAGAGGGGCAGGTGTGCTTGGATATGGTTGGGTGTTAACAATCTGTTGGGAAGAGAGTGGTGAGTACTTCTAATTTACACAATGTTTAATTGAGTCCTTTTTCTTTCATGGATTTCTAATCCATCCAGTCAATTTTTTTTCGCCCTTTTTAATGATAATTTTTCAAAATTAGTTGCATTGACGCACACCATGGCAACAGAAACCAGCAAGCCTCGCGATCCCTTGTCCTCCTCCTCTACGACCACTAAGAATCCTCTAGTTCTTCATCTTCACGAAAAACTCTCATCTTGCTATACTGTAAGTCTCTCTCTCTCTCTCTCTCTCTATTTTTCCTAGAAAATTCTTTACTAATCTGTTTGTTTGCCTAGAAAACCCAAAACTCTCCATTTCTTATGGAAACTAATCGAATATTCTATACTGCTATTCATGCGTTTTTAAGTGAACGAACTGGTTGCTTTAGTTAATAGAGATTAACTTACGTACTTGTTACTGTTAATTTGAAGTTAAATACATTTTATTTAATAAAAATTGATCATTATTATCATTATTATTATTATTTTAGTTGATTGAATGTGGAGATGAGAAATCAGTAGCAGAGCTGGTAGATTTTATAGATTCAGTTTCCGACTCTGCTGTATCGAATCATGAAGACAGTGATGAACAGGGCAATGCAGTTGAAGTTCTCTCCGAAACTCATAAATTTTTGCTTTCTCCGTCGCTAAATCAGGTGTTTTGGTAGTTATTTTAATTATTTATATTGTTTTTGTTGTTGTTGAAAGTTTATTTTTGTATATGATTTTTTTTTTCTGTGGTATTTGTAGGCGGTTATTGATGCGTTATCATTTGAATTACCGAAGGCAGTATCGAAGTTTGCAGGATTGTCTAATGAGTGCTTGAGGATTGCTGATAGTATTATTGATTTTTTCATTGAAAACTGTAGTCCACGGGATATGCTTCCCATTCTTTGTGAGGTGCTTTGTGTTTTAAATGTGTTTATGGCTGAATTAGGATTAGTGTTTGATAATCATGTGATTTACTTCTGAATAGCAGATTCATAATTCATTCACTTAATATTGTGATATTACGGCTTGCTTAATGTTTATCATGGATTTATTTATGACCCTAGTTTTATACTATAAGTTAGTTAGTATTATGGTGTGTGTTGTCACTAATGGTTTTAGTTTACCACTAATAGTGATTGGTTTTCATTGGATCAGGCATTAGATTCGTGGAATGGGATGGTTCATGCATATGACTATGTTGCTCCTCTTCTAAGTGGGATCTCAAAAGGTTGTTTTTAAGAAAGAAAGTTGAGGGGTTTTTTTTTTATGAAATAAATGTCATTTCTGATGTGCTAAGGTCTCCTCATATAAGCATGTCATTCATGAAATAATTTGTTCTGGCTAAGTGTTTCCACTTATAGTATCATGCCATTGCACCATTTTGTACATCTGCATGTTATCCATGAAACAACCTGTTCCAGTGAAGTCTGGTTTTTTATTTTCCGTTTTTTTATTTTGCTTATAATATCATGTCATTGCTGCTCTTCTATTGTATTTATGAACTGTGGGCTTAGGTCCTAGTTACCATGAACGATGTGTGCCAAATTGAGGGGTCAATTCTTGCAGAAGATAGTTTAGCAATTCATTATTTTATTTATTTATTTATTCAAGTTTATTCTCTTTTGGGACATAGTGGAAAAACCTAATTGAGTAAAGCTATGGTTGTGGGTGTTTTTACTATTCTTATGCTTGCTGCTAACCTTATTGAATTTAAGATGCTGACATTCTCTTCATCTTCGTTTTTTTCATAACAGTATTGCTTGCCATACAGAGGCGCCACTTTGAGCAAGTAAAAGTTGCAGTTCCTGTCATCCTAAATGTTCTGAAGGCTGTGTGTTCAGAGTTCAGTGCCAGGGATACAGAATGTATGAATTTGTTTATCAGAGCCTTAGGAATTGCTGATTCTATACGAGCGATTTGTGCAAAATTGGTATGCCTGTTTCCTGTTCTGTTTTCCTTTTCCTTGAGTAAATTGAGTATCAAACCCTGCTAATCTTCACTAACCTACTTTATCGTGGTTGCAGGAGGGCAGAGTACTTGAAAAGCTTCGAGATGTACTTAGTTCATACATTTTACAAATCATGGTTGGCACTCCTGTGTTCAAACGGAAATCAGAAGTGTTTAGTTAGATAAATATTTCCTTTTATACCAGGCTTGTAATTTTGTGCTATTGCTAGTTAAGTTCATGTTGTAGGTGCATCTTTAAGTTAACGTCACTACTCTATATTTTGCTTCATGTTTCCTTTTCCTGTCTGAATGGTTATTTTACTGTTTTGTATGGATGGGACTGCATGACTAAGTTGCACCCTTGATATACTGCAGGCTCTTCTTTCTCTTGTCTTAGGATGTGAAATTCCAAGATGCCTTCCCCTGGTGTCACGGCTTTCAGAATTCTTCCCTTTTTGTGGTTTATCATATCTCGGTTTAATAACTGGATCTGAAGTTGATGAAATGACGCGCACTTTTGTTGCAGGTAAAGTCTACAAGGTTACTATATGTTGTCCTTCACATCTTAAAATTTGCAAGCCAGTTTTAATTGTGAATTTTTTCCTTCAATTTAATTGAACCCGTATGTTTTGGTTCTAATCATTGTAACCTTTTTTCCTTTGATTTCATTGAACGCGTACATTTTAATTGTAATCATGAAATACACAGAAGAGGAGGATGATTATATGAGGTGTTTATCCTACATCAAACATGGTGCAGCAATTTCAGGTCTGTATTTTCCAAAAACACATGCTTGTCCTTGTAATTATTTGTGTTCCATTAATGATTACGTTTGTTTTACCTCTTATCTGTAGAAAAAGACACCCTTAGTTGTTACCTCAATCGTTTAGTCTTTCTTAATCTGTTGTTGCAGTGATCTGGGGTCATATCTCTGTTAATGTTGCTCGGGCTGCTGGGGGGGATGTGTCAACTGTCAAGGATGAAATTCTAAGTAACCAAACTGAGAGGTGGCAAGCCATAGGCATGTTAAAGCACATATTCTCATTTGTCGATTTCCCCTGGGAATTAAAGAAACATGCCATTGACTTCTTGCTTTGCATTACTGATGGAAATATCGCAAGAAACTGCAATGACAAAGACACTGAGTGCTCTATATATATGCCTAATCTCTATGCTGCTTTGCAGGTACCCTCCTTCCTTCTGTGTTTGTACATCTATATCTGCTCTCTCCTTTCTAATGATCAAAGTTAATATTTCAGGCTATTACAATGGTCATCATGTATACACCAGATGCCGTGCTAAGAAAGAATGCCTTTGAAGCATTGAAAAGGGTAAGGGTTTAGACCACAGCAAGTAAACATGCAAACCTCTATTTTTTAGACTTTCTCTCAAGTGCCTGGATAATGCCTGGAAATTGTTGATGTTTTCATTCAAGTTTTGCTCCATTTTTGAAAAATGGAATGAGCTGGTTCTTGAAATCCTCTTCTTTTTTATTACTGGTTTGTTATTCTCCCTGCTTCTCAACTTATATGCACTTCTTAAATTAGGAATCCTCATATCACTCTGCCAAATTAAATCAGGTACTTGCTGATATTCCAACTTCTCAGAGGTTCGAAATATTTCAAGCTTTGATTACAAATAGCATGTCTTCTCCTATGGTAAACTCTTGCAAGCTGGTTTACATGATTTAAGAGTTTCAACATTTATTCAAACAAGATGCAAAACTTCCATCATCTGAAATATTTGTTGCAACAATACAGACTGCACTTCTTTTAGATCTTGTTAGAAGTGATTTGTATAAGGAAGGTTTCCAAAGAACAGCAACAGGGAAAGACGAAGAAAAGCAAGCAAATAAAGCTGCACCACTATGGGTTGCTCGTGCCCTTGAATTGGTAGAGCTAGTTTTCAGGCCTCCAAAGGGAGGGCCTCCATCCTTTCCTGAGCATGGTGATGCGGTATGCCTTACCTTCTCAATCATTTTTATTATGTTGTAGTCTCTTTGCATAAAATCCTATGGCTTTTCGTCTTCCTGGCTCCAATTTTAATGTCTTATATAGCAATGTATGGACTTCTACACAGACTGAAACTTTTCCAACTTTTATTTGGTACTATGCCCTGCAGGTTCTAGCTGCCCTCAACCTGTACAGATTTATTTTGATGACAGAATCAGCAGGTAAAAATATAGTAGCTTACAATTTTTCACAAGTTAAAACAGAAAATGTCCAAGATGCGTTAAATGTAAATCATTTTGTTTTCTTCATTTGTGTCATTCCTAAACTGCATAGCAATTTTTCTGTCATTTTTAGTTGGAAAAATACCAAGGTTCTGATCTAGTAATGATCCTATTAATTTTAAGAGATGTATATTGGTAACATATGAGAAACTATGAAACTGATTTGAAGTCTCAGATATCCAAGTAGCTGAACTCATGGCTTGATGAAAATCATAGCTTGAGCCTGTTGTGCCAATCTCATAAGTCATCATGCATATGGAGGGTTAAAGGAGGTTTGCCCTCTGACTAATTGAAGTTCATGTAGAACAATGTAAATGATGAAATGGAAATCATGTAGTAGACCTTACAAATATGATGGATGTTTAAATGAGTTCAATTCATTCAAGTGAACCAAGATATCTTCCCAACATATAAATTCTAGCTGTATTGAGTGAGTCAAACCCCCCAGTTTTGGATTTTCGCTGCTATAAACTCAGCTTGCCTTAATGTACAAGCAATTCTAAAGTTTAATTTTGTTTTGTTGCTGTCACGATCTTACTGTGAATATTGTCGACGAAACAGGGAAAACCAACTACACTGGAGTTCTCTCCAAGAAAAATTTAGAGAAAGCATTCAACGAATGGCTCCTACCACTTCGAGCCCTTGTGACTGGCATCATGGCAGAGAACAAGGATGATCATGATCCATTAGTAATGGACACAGTATGTTCTCTTAATCCTATTGAGCTTGTTCTATATCGTTGTATAGAACTAGTAGAAGATAAATTAAAACATCCAGCATAATCAACCTTCAGTAAAAAGGAAATTCCCATCTCACTTGAACTGTAGAAGGATAGGTAAGATGCTTAGGTGCCAGATGTATTTCAATAGTTCTTCAACTTCCAGTCTGGGTATAACACGAGAGTAACATCACAGTGTTGGGAATGGTTTTTGCATGAAACACTTGATTCCTTGTTTGGTTTTTGAATTATTTGTATTATTCACTACACATTGCTTTTTTTTCGAATCTCAGATATCTATGTTAACAGAGTTAAGATGGAGTTTATAAGCTTTTATCTCTCAATCACATCTAATGAGTTTATTAAGCAAACTCTTTACCCATAATTGCGCTTTGTTATGCATCCATGAATGCCAATAAAGATTATAAATTTGAATGTTAACGAGGGTTGCTCTTTGCTATGATTTATCTAGAATCCATTTAGTTTGAAAATAATGATTAAAGAAAACTATTAAATTTTATTTTACATGGATGGTCCAAGAAACAAAAGTTGTCATTTGACATGAGATCGTGAACACGAGTCATCTTCGTAGTGGGTGATCAATAGTATTATAATTATTAAACTCAACCTGACCTAATAAATTGACCTAATGACTTGTTGACTTGGAAATTGACCTGGGTTGAGTTTTATTTTAAATTGGTTTAGACATTAACCCCGTTAAACATGAATAACCTAGTAGATCAACCCATAGCCTTGATAATCTAGGTAAACACGGTGAGACTTGATCAAGTTAACTTTAAGGAATTATTTGAAGTTTTTTAATCTAAAATAATATTATTTTATTTTAAAAGAATATATATTACAATGACATCATTTTTGGAATGATCCCGACAATCTAATAACCCGGATCCTTAATCAGACAACTATGACTAGTATAAGTTTTTCTTATGAGATTTCTTTCAATTGATAACTCAATAGACTTACAGCTTGAAGATCAACCAAAATATTGTGGACATGATATTCCAGACCTTTTCTTTTGCAGTTGTTGAAAAACTAGCTCCTAGTCTCCTACTCAGTGTGATGGACCTGTTTTCACGTATTAATTATTGATTCTAGGGATAATTGAGCACATTCTTCATCAAAAATTTCCCAAGTCTACTTTCACATTTAGGAATTTTTTTCTTGCCTGGTTCATCTTCCTCCAACATGAATATGAAGATGCTGTTTCGGCAAGCATGGCCATTTCAAAAGGTAGACAAATCTATACGAATAAGGTACCCATTTTCTTGTCGCTAATTCTAAAAGATGCTAAACCAACCTTCCCCTTGATTGAAAACAACTTTGTGTCTGAGCAAATAGCAGAGTCTGCAGCTTTAGGAAATTTCTCCTTGTTGGATTGAAATAGTAAACCTCCTTTTAGGTGGGACCGCTGGCGGGAGAACTCCTAGCATGACAAGAGTTGTTGTCATGTTGTGGACATCTCTCTTGCCTGTTTTTTTCATTGTTCACTCGCTGATGTGGGCTCCTCCCCCGGCCATGATGACTCTCTATGTTTGATTGTGCTAAGCGGCTTAATCAAATATAGTTCTCTGATCTGAATTGTAACTCGTTCGAAAAAAATATATATATTATCAGGATTAAGTTAATTCAAATGAATTGTTCTTATTGAAAAAATATTTACTTCTTTAAGAAAAATTCTCTGATATTGATATAACTCGGTTACTAAAAACATGGATGCATCAATCAACTAGTGGTTTTATCATATTAATATCTTTTATTGTTTAGCTTGAAATATGTTTCATGGGATGTGATTTTACGCATTTATAGTTTTACAATACAAGTTCTTTAAAAAATTAAATTTTTAAATAACATGATTGTACCAGCAAAACAAGCACCAAGTTACATGCATAAAATCACAATGGCTTAACCAGAAGGCTTGAAATCTCGAAGGCACCTTTTATTCTCACGAGCTTCAAGCCTCGTAAGTTGATGTTTGTAGCTGTTGAAGTGGCTGTGTGTTGTAGAAATCAATCACATTAACACCTCAAATCAAATGAGTGGGAAGTGTGATGCCGCATGGTGCTCTTAAATGGACCCCACCAAATTGCATTCATGTACATCGAAGATTAGGCATGAACCACATCAAAGTGATTGCACAATAAACTGCAGCATCTTGAGCGTTGACAAGATGAAGGCCATCTAATTAAGGTACCAAGTTGGATGCTTGCTGCCTACTAAATTAAATATCAATGCCATTTTTATACGAATAAATCTTAAAAATACAAATCAGCAATAAGATTAGTGGAATTATCATTGAATCTCGTATTAAAATATCATCCCATAGAATAATTAATTCATTTTTTTAAAAATCTCTCCTTGCTTAAATATCATTTATCTAAAAAAAACTTTGTTTATTTTTTTTTTATTAATATGGATGTCCGGGCCAGCTTGTACGCCTTGCTTAAATATCATTTATCTAAAAAAACTTTGTTTTTATTAATATGGATGTCCGGGCCAGCTTGTACGTACCATGACTAATCCCACGATCCACTGAATATCCTGCAAGTCCAGTAAACAAATAAGGTATCACGAGGTGACAGGCATGCCACGTAAAGAAAAGCCAATAAAAATAAAAAAAAAACCACTCGTCAGCTCCACGGAGACTCGAACCGAAATTCAAAAAAAACGAACAGCTATTACTCCAATTAGGTACAAGCTGTTTGGTAACTTTATTTATTTTTTATTTATCTAAAGAGGGCCAAAGACGATTTGGAGCCAGTAGCACGAGGTCACGCCACGCGTCAAATTTAGCGATAACTTTGTCAGAAAGGTAATCTACTCTCCCCAGATATGTTCTTTCTCCGTTATTAATGGATAGACGCAAAGTTATCGTACTTGTCCGCAAACATAGTGTGTGTTTGACTGTTCAGAGTCTTTTTCATTCTTCCAACTCTTATTTTTTAAAATGTTTTTTTAAAAAATATATATTAAATTAATATTTTTTT